GGGAAAGGTCCTGAGGCATTTATCCCATGCTTAAAGAGACTATGCTGTCCTGTCTCACCTCTACAAGCCAGAACATATTTGATAAGGTCTGTAATTACATAACTATAGAATAAGCAAGCATGGCTATCCAGTCTGGGCCTGCTGGTTCCTGCAGGAGCATGATCAACACTGTATATGGAACTATCTGACCATATCTGAAGTCTAAACACTGAAAAGTTTTCCAGAGAACAATGTTAGGGACTCAGCAGACTCTTCATCAATCTGAAAAAGATAGCCTGCATTAATCAAAGCTTGCATCATTAGCTATGCACATACTTACCAAAAAGCTAGGAGAACTGGCCATTTTACTTCATTTGCCTTTTTGGTCCCAGACTTTTACATAGAAAAATGCTGTATTGTACCTATCTTGGTTGCACTTAAGTCCACAAAACTTACTAGATGTCAATGTATTGATATCAAATTTATTAGATACCAATTATGAACCAGGGGCTGTGAAACGGTACAAGGATGTCTAAGACACAGAGGCTGCCTGTCCTTAAGCAGACAACAATCTTGTGGAGGAGACATCAACATCATCCCACCTTTTTATAGCTTAAGATATGTTTTTACAAGCGTTTCCTCAATTGCATTTCTTAGCAATCCTGTGGCACAAATAGAATTTGTCAATACATTTTACAAATGAAGAGAGTGTGGGTCAGAGGGACCAAGAAACTTGTTTCCCAAGTCCAAAATTCTTTTCTATTTTTGCATGTAGCCTCTCTCACGTGGATAATAATAGTAAAAGATATAGGGTAATAAAGGAGAAAGGTATGAACTATGGATTATGGAAGTACAAGCAGAGGAAGAAAAGAGCTTCATCTCTAAGATAGGGAATTTGTTTTGTTTTGTTTTGTTTTGTTTTGTTTTTTTGAGTTGGAGTCTCACTCTATCACCCAGACCGGAGTGCAGTGATACGCTCCCAGCCACCAGTCTCAACCGGCTGGGCTCCGGTGATCCTTCTGCCTCAGCCTTCCAGGTAGCTGGAATTACAGGCACGTGCTACCACACCCAGCTAATTTTTGATTTATTGTAGAGATGAGGTCTCGCCAAGTTGCCCAGGTGGGTCTCGAACCCGCGGGCTCAGGCAATCCAATCACCTCAGCCTTCCAAAGCGCTGGGATTACAGGCTGAGCCACCGAGTCAGGCTAAGATGGGGAATTTGAGAGCAGCTTGGAAAGAATGTGGCCTGTGGCTTTGTCTTTGAGATGAATTCTAAAGGGTGGAACACTTTGTCAATTAAGAAAGGCAAATAAGTCTAGGGATGAAAAAGAAACAGAAGGTAAGGAAAGATTGGGGAGGGGAGCAAAGCCATGAAGAAGTTTAAGGTATAACAAGGAGGCTTGCCTGGCTGAAGACCGGCTGCATAAGAGTAAAATGGAGGCCTTGAAAGTCAGGCGGAATGGAAACATCTACATGCAGCACAGAAGAGTTAAGCATTTTTGGCAGAGCAATAAAGGCCAGTTGTATGTTTCAGATTTACAGTGTTTTCTGACAAAGGCACTTGTCATTTTGGGCAGGACACTTCTTTATGTGTAGGACTGTCCCATTCACTGCAGGTCATTTAGCACCCCTGACCTTTGCCTACTAAATGATTGTAGTGCTTTCCATCAAGACAATAAACAATGACCTCCATAGTTCCAAATGCCATAGGAGGTGGCAACGTCCCTAGTTTTATAGATGGTGGTTAATAGTGTCTAGTCTAGGTTCAGATGAAGAGAGAAGAAAGGCAAGAAGACCATTAGAAGTATAATGTGATGATTTAGAAAAAAAAATGCAATAGCCAGGCATGGTGGCTCACATCTGTAATATCTTGGGAGGCCAAGGTAAGAGAAGATAGCTTGAAGTCAGGTGTTCAAAATCAGACTGGGTAATGTAATAAGACCCTATCTCTACAAGAAAAAATTAAATTAAAAAGTTAGTTGGGCATGATGTCATGCACCAGACCCAGCTGCTGGGGAAGCTGAGACAGGAAGACCACATGAACCCAGGAGTTCAAGGCTGCAATGAGCTATGATCGTGCCACCACACTCCAGCCTGGGCAACAAACCAAGACCCTGTCTCTTAAAAAAAAAGAAAGTAAAAAAAAAAAAAAAGAAAAGAAAGAAAGAAAAGAAAAGATGATTAGATCCTAAATCAGGATAAGAAAAGATCTGAAGGAGATTGCAGAGAGAAAACAGAAATCAGCAGGATTTGGCACTTGTTGAATATAATAGAGAAATGGAGGATGAATCCAAGATTTTGAGCTTGTGTAACTGAGAGAATGATAATGGCATTAACCAAATTAGGAAGAGGAGAAAATTTTAGGGCAACTACTGAGTTTCAACTTTTAGCTGACTGAATATGAAACATTTATGTATCTCTATGATTTTTTTTTTTTTTTAGTTGGAGTCTCACTCTGTCGCCCAGGCTGGAGTGCAGTGGCACACTCACGGCCATTGCAGCCTTGACCTGCTGGGCTCAGGTGATCCTTCCGCCTCAGCCTTCCAAGTAGGTGGAACTACAGGCATGTGCCACCATGCCTAGTTAATTTTTAAAAATTTATTGTAGAGATGAGGTCTCGCCAAATTGCCCAGGTTGGTCTTGAACTCATGGGCTCAGGCAATCCTCTCACCTCGGACTCCCAAAGTGCTGGGATTATAGGCGTGAGCCACTGTGCCCAGCCTTCTATGGTGTTTTAAACAAAGAATTAGAAATGTGGATCTTGAACGCAATATGAGTTAGGGATAAACAGAAAACTGAGCCCAAGGGAGACATATAGTAGAAAAAGGAGCTAAGGAAAAAATTAAAGGGAATCCTTGTTTCAACCTATTTTCAAAACTGCCCTTTTCCCTGTAATGTTCCCCTTCAGTTTGCCAGTTAGTCAGATAGTATGTAGAGACAGATGGAAAGAAAGTGTGAGAGATAGAACAAAAGAGACAATGAGACATATTTTTTTGTTCTTTTTTGGAGACAGGGTCTTGATCTGTCATCCAGGATAGAGTGCAGTGGCGTGATCATAGCTCACTGTAATCTTGAACTCTTGGGCTCAGGCAATCCTCCCACCTTAGCCTCCTGAGTAGCTAGGGCTGTACAAGTGCTTGCCTCCACACTTGGCTAAAAACCTTCATTATTTAGAGATGGGGGTCTCACTATGTTGCACAGGCTGGGAGACACAGGGACTTTTTAAAAAGTTACCTATAACACCATTCCTTAAATTTCAAGTGAAGATGGAAAAAAAAGTTTTTAAGTAAAAACGAGTATCCATACCCAGTAACCTCTGAGTTTCTGTGGGCTTACTCGTTATACTATTCCTTTCCATTTCCCCTTCAAACAATTGCCTCTATTTGGTGGTAATACTATTTTCAAAAGCTAGACATCTGCAAAATATTTTTTTCCCTTCTCATAAGAAAGCTGAGTTGCTGTTGTGATAATTATTCACCCTTGAATATCTCCTAATCTGGTTTCTATTTTACCCAGATTCAGTTCATTTTCCTCACTTACAGTCTAAGGCTATTTGTTTCAAAAAAGTTTTCAGTCTTCAGAAACCTTATCTCTACCTCTTATTCTAATTATCTGTAGGCAAGTGAAGTTACCCCTCCCTCAACAATACTAGGCCTAATATGGACCCTCCTATAATCTCATTAAATATTCTCATCAAAGATTCATTTAAAGTCTAATTTCTTTTTTCCTTTTTGAGTTAGAGTCCACCCTTTCGCCCAGGCTGGAGTGCAGTGGCACCCTCATGGCCACCACAGCCTTCACCTGCTGGGCTCAGGCAATCCTTCTGCCTCAGCCTTCCAAGTAGCTGAAACTACAGGCATGCATCACCATGCCCGGCTAATTTTTTGGTTTATTGTAGAGATGAGGTCTCGCCAAGTTGCCCAGGCTGCTCTCGAACCCGTGGGCTCAGGCAATCCTCTCACCTCGGCTTCCCCGAGTGCTGGAATTAAAGGCGTGAGCCACCGTGACCAGCCTAAAAGTCTAATTACAAAGAGTTCTCAAAGTAGGGTCTGTGGAAGAATATGAGACCATTTCAAAACTATTTTTATGTAATAGCAGCAACATTTGCCGTCTTCAAAATGTTGACATTGACACTAATAGTGCAAAAGCAGTGGTAGATAAAACTGCTGGAGTCTTAGCATGAATTAAGGCACGGACATTGAACTATTCTAGTAATCACTATATTCTTCACTGCTACACACACACAGTTTAAAACAAACAAGCAAAGCCGATTCTGACTTCAGAGAGTCCCTGAAAGGGTCTCATGTAAACTCCTCCTCAGAGGTCCAGGAATCACACTTTGAGACCCACTGCTCTGGGCAGTTTATAAAAGCACAAGTAAAACAGCTCCTTAAGAGAACCGAAAACAGCAACAGTTTGGCCTGTTCCTTTGACCTACTCAGATTCAATTCCAAGACATGATGAGTTATAATTATTTACTAAACATTCTTTTGGATACAAGATTATATTTAGGATAGACAGCCTTTAGAAAGATTTCATTTTGTAATTTTACTATTTAAATTTATATTTTATAATCAATACATTTCACATTCAAAATGTGAGGCTCCAGTTACATTCTGTGTTATTGCTGAACACATACTATATTAAAATAAATAGTCACCATAAGACTTTGTACTAAAACCTGGCTATACCCTAAGCAAGATCTCAGAAATATTCTGGAGCATACCTTTCCTTTGTTTTCCTCCTATGTAATGTCAGATGTTTAAAATTCTAAGAATAACATGTTGACCTCTTGGGAGTAAAAAAAAAATTCAATAAAAAGGCAGAATACAAAATTATTAACAAAGTGCCTGCAATATATTTAGGCTCAAATTTTTTCCTACTTTGAGTTATAAAATTAACATAAATTCTCATTTTATATTATCTTCATTAAAAAGTCAGATGAAATACAAGCCTCCAAAGAAGTTTCTAGAGACATGACCACACACAGGATGGGATCTGCTTTTACAATAACTACTTACTGTGTGAGAACCGCTGAGTGATTGGGGTTCCAGGATAAGGGTAAGTGCGGCTCTCCCACTGGATGTTTCCTTCCTGGACAGCCTTCATGAAACCATGGTAACACTGGTGGGCCACACCTGAAGACAGAAAGAGCAAATGCCTCAGCCTGGATACTTAACTTACAAATAAAATAATTAAAACTGTGTCTATTACTGTTTTATCACTTTTATAAGTCAAAAATTTCTTTGAGAAAACTCCAACTTTGATTTTCATTCCAAGAAAGGAAAACGAAATCACAGAATTTCAAAACTGCAAGACGCAATCTTTTCATTTACCAAGGTTCAGGGAGGTTAAGTAACTTGCTTGAAGTTATAAAATTAGCTCACACTATATAACTCTAATTCCTTTTATGTTATATCAAGAGGCAACAGCAAGATAATTGGTATTATTTACTCCAAAGCAAAGAGGCTGGGGCATAATTTAGCTTTATGAAACAGTCTGGGCCAGGCTTGGTGGCTCATCCTGTAATTCCAGCACTTTGGGAGGCCGAGGTGAGTGGATTGCCTAGCCCGCGGGTTCGAGACCCACCTGGGCAACTTAGCGAGACATCATCTCTACAATAAATAAAAAAAAATTAGCTGGGTGTGGTAGCGCGCGCCTGTAGTTCCAGCTACTTGGAAGGCTGAGGTGGATCGCAAGAGCCCAGCAGGTTGAGGCTGCGGTGGTCGGGAGCGGCCACTGCACTCCAATCTGGGTGACAGAGTGAAACTCCGACTCAAAAAAAAAAAAGAAAGAGTCTGATAAAACAGTGTCTGAAATATAACAGGTGTTCAGTAAATATCTATAGTTAAACCATAGAAATAAAGCATTCTCCATTTTAAACACAGAGATAATAATTAGCTTATGAAATGATGAATATATGAATGAGGAAACAGTCTCTTTTTTTTTGAAAACAGAATTTATTAAGAAGACAGAAAAGCTCCCACAGTGGAAGGGGACCCAAGGGGGGTGCCCGAGGAAACATTCTTAAAAGGTGAGAGCTTGACTGGGCACAGTGGCTCACACCTGTAATCCTAACATTATGGAAGGCCAAGGTGGGAGAATTGCTTGAACACAGGAGTTTGAGACCAGCCTGGGCAAAAAAGTGAGACCCTTGTCTCTACAAAAATAAAAATAAAAAATTAGGTGAGCATGGTGGCAGGCACCTATAGTCCTATCTACTTGGGAGGCTGAGCTAAAAGGATCACCTAAACCCAGCAGATTGAGGCTGCGGAGAGTTGTGATTGTGTCATTGCACTCCAGCCTGGGCAAGACCTTGACTCAAAAAAATAAATAAAAATAAAAAGTAAGAGCTTTTACTACAATGGTGAATATAAGTTATTATACATTAGTCCAAATCCATAGAACGTACACTACTAAGAGCAAACTCTAATGTAAACTATGAACTTCAGATAATAACAATGTCGGTTCATCAATTAAATTGTAACTAACGTACCATTCTGGTGGGCAACGTTAATAACAACAGAGGCTATGTATGTGCAGGGGCAGAGGGCATACAGGAAATCTCTTCCTTCAGCACAACTTTGCTGTCAACCTAAAACGTCTCTAAAAAATAAAATTCACTAGGCCAGGTACAGTGGCTCAAGTCTGTAATCCCAGGACTTTTGGAGACCGAGACAAGAGGACTGCCTGAGCCTAGGGGTTCCAGACTAACCAGGGCAACTTGGCAAGATGTCTCCACAATAAATTAAAAAATAAAAAAAAATTAGCTGGGTCTGGTGGTGCTCACCTATAGTTCCAGCTACTTGGAAGGCTGAGGCAAAAGGATTGCCTGAACCCAGCAGGTTGAGGCTGTGGTGGTCATGAACGTGCCACTGCAGTCCAGCCTGGGCGACAGAGTGAGACTCTGACTCAAAAAAAAAATGTCCACTAAAATAAAGTGAGAGAGCTGGGCTCGGTGCCTCAGCCTGTAATCCCGCACCTTGGGAGGCTGAGGTGAGTGGATTGCCTGAGACCGCGGGTTCGAGACCCGCCTGGGCAACTTGGTGAGACCTCATCTCTATAATAAATCAAAAAATTAGCCGGGTGTGGTAGCACACGCCTGTAATTCCAGCTACTTGAATGATGAGGCGGAAAGATCGCCGGAGTGGCCACTGCACTCCAGTCTGGGCGATAGAGTGAGATTCCAACTCAAAAAAAAAAAAATTAAAATTAAAAAAAAAATAAAGTGAGAACTTCATGTTTCTGCAACAATCTAATGTTCTAATACATTCATTCCAATGACTAATTACAACAGAGGAAAACTTAAAGAGTGCAACCAATTATGTTACATTCTGAAGTGGGTGATAACAATGTGCCAGTGTAGGTCATCAACAGTAACATATGTATCACTCTGGTGGAGGCTATTGATAATGGAGGAGGATACGCATGTATGGGGACAAGGGATATATGAGCAATCTCTGTTTCTTCTGCTCAATTTTGCTGTGAACCTAAAACTGCTCTGAAAAAAAAATTAAAACCACATTCAAACAAATAAAGGCATCTTGGCAGTGACTTCTTTCAGAAGCTCTAAGACTATGAATACTAGGTGAGGGCTCCTCTCTCTTAGAAGACAAACGAACAGGGCCGGACTCGGTGGCTCAGCCTGTAATCCCAGCACTTTGGGAGGCCGAGGTGAGTGGATTGCCTGAGTCCGCGGGTTCGAGACCTGCCTGGGCAACTTGGCGAGACCTCATCTCCGGAATAAATCGAAAATTAGCCAGCCATGGTACCGCACGCCTGTAGTTCCAATTACTTGGAAGGCTGAGGCAGAAGGATCGCCGGAGCCCAGCAGGTCGAGGCTGCAGTGGCCGGGAGCGGCCACTACACTACAGTCTGGGTGACAGAATGAGACTCCAACTCAAAAAAAAAAAGAAGACAAATGAACACACAATAGTCAAAATGATAAGACTGCCAAATAAAACCTAAAGATAAATTCATATGTTTGATCAGATCACAGTTTCTCACCTGCGATTTCACCACCTTTACTGGAGAGGTAAAACCACATATTTCCACAGTGCAGGGAGCCAATCTCTCCTGAAGAGCCCATTAACTCAAAACACAGAAGGAAGCTGTGCATAACAGTATTAGCAGTTATGATCAAATGAACACAGGACCCACTGAGCAGTTTCAGCACTGCTGGTCCTTAGCCCTCCATGTGGACTGTGGGAGTTGACAAGGAACCTCCCTGACCACCACCATGAGAACTACTTTGATGCAAGGAAAACATTTAAAAAAAATTTTTTTTTTTTTGAGTTGGAGTCTTACTCTGTCGCCCAGACTGGAGTGCAGTGGCCGTTCCCGGCCACCGCAGCCTCAGCCCGCTGGGATCTGGCGATCCTTCCGCCTCAGCCTTCCAAGTAGCCGGAATTACAAGCATGTGCTACCACGCCCGGCTGATTTTTTGATTTATTGTAGAGATGAGGTCTCGCTGCCCAGGCGGGTCTCGAACCCGTGGGCTCAGGCAATTCAGTCACCTCAGCCTCCCAAAGGCACGGGATTACAGGCTGAGCCACCAAGCCCGGCTGGAAAACATTTTTAAACTGACTGATTCTGATCTAAAGGTTCTAAGTCCTATCTCTAGCTGCCTTGTTCCCACGAAAAAAGCACACATTGATACAACCCTTGCTTTGATCAACTGACCAGGGCATCTTCAGACAAAAAAATGGACCCTTTTTTACCTGAGATGCAATAAAGACAATTAACTGCTAATTGTTAACTAAAAATACAGTATAGCCAGCAACCTTAACATGTAGCTACAAGTTGAAATCTTGAAGAGGATGAAAAAAGGGAAGAAACATATTTTTAAAAGAAAATGTTAGATATAGGGACTTTGCTGCTTGAAGATAAAATCAAATGGCAAATGCTAGCCAGGAACAGGAGCTCACATTGGGAGATGAAGGCAAGAGGATTGCCTGAGTCCAGAGGTCTGAGACCAGCCTGGGCAACTTGGCGAGACCTCATCTCTACAATAAATCATAAAATCAGTCGGGTGTGGTGGTGCGTGCCTGTGGTTCTAGTTACTTGAAAGAATGAGGCAGAGCCAGCCTCGGTGGCTCAGCCTGTAATCCCGCGCCTTTGGGAGGCTGAGG